GCTCCAGGTCAACATCAGACAACCAATATCCTGACCCGCCTACATGCGGGATTGGGACTACGACTTCCAGTGTCATCTTCCATCTGCCATTTTTACCCCACTCCCATCGTTACAGAGCTTGGAAATGATTGGTAGACGCAAACGTTTCCCTCAGGCCTGCGCAGTGGAGTTTTTAGCTGAAGCGCAGTATGCGCTGAAGTGGCCCCACCCTTTACACACGGGATTCGATCTGTAATGACCAAACAAGCTGGGACGATCACAGTGAATATCCGGGCCGTAGGTTTTACAGAGTATCCTTCTCTTAACCAATGGCTAGGGAAAAAAACCCACCCACCGCAAAAAAAACAAAAAACAAAAACCGTGGAGCCCAAGACTCCCAGGATAATAGTGCTAGATGGTCGTTGAGCAAAAAGCTTCCTCCGCCTTTTAAACAGGTCTTGTATTTAATCCTACAGGATGACTAGCCACACTCCTCGCAGGAAAACAATCTGTGTGGGTACCGGTTTAGTCGCCGATAATCCGACTATAAAACTGGTAGTACAGGGATACATAGCACCAGCAGCACTAGGGAGTGACCTGATATCTCTGTCTGTCTGTCTGTCTGTCTGTCTCTCTCTCCCTGTCCCTTCAAGTGTAATGTCAATCGACATCTCCAGTTGCCCTAATCTATCTACTACCCTCATCCTATCTTCTATCACTCCTATCTGATCTTCCTATCTTCTGTAACCCCTTGCGTCCTAGTGGCTTCCCGCTTTGCTTGGGGTGAAATGCTTAAAAAAAAATAAAATAAAAAAATAACACTAATAATCTTATAAATATAAGCAGCTATACTCGTCCGGCAAAACCTTAGGTGTTTTAGCTTGTAAATCAACAAACCAATTCCCAAAGGAAAAAAAGGCTAAAAAAAGAAAGAACTAAGAACATATATTTCTGGCGAAATATTCACGTTCAGAGTCAAAACAACGATACCCCGATACGATTAAGTAAAATAACTAAGCAAAGTGCTCAATACGCTAAGTAGAGCAAATAAAGCAACTGGCTCTTTAGGTTCACTTTGCTATATATATATATATATATATATATATATATATATATATATATATCTAATATAATAATGTTATAAATATGTTGGTGGTTTTTTGTTTTTGGGTTTTGATCCGTTTAGTATAAATGCGGATAATAGGTACTTATTCTATACCTACATTTGGAGATCAGAGATTATCTCCAAATGTAAGCATGAGAATAAGTACCTATTATCCGAATTTATACCAAACGGATAAAAAAAAACCAAAAAAAAAAAAAAACACCAACAATCACTACCAAGCTACCATTAGTTCAAGCTACCATTACAATAATTACATTTATTGTTATTATCATTGCACCGCCATTAGTAATCACTTCTACCACTTTACAATAACTATTAGCTACTAATATTATCATTACCACCAACACCCAACACCATTACTACCACATCACATCTACTATTAACATATAAATCCACTATAATTATTAACGTAAATTACTCCCCCCAGCATATTTAATACCACCAAATAGAAACCAGTAAGATCAGAGGTAATTTCCAAATGTAGGCATGAGAATAAATACTTATTATCAGGATTTATACCAAAAAAAGAAATGAAATAAAATAAAATAGTACACCAACAATCACTTTATAGTTCAAGCTACCACCACAATAATTACATTTATTGTTATTATCATTCTCCCACCACCATTACTAATCACTTCTACCAATTTACAATAACTATTAGCTACTTTTATTATCATTGCCACCAATCTCCCTACAACATTACTATCACATCACATCTACTATTACCATATAAACACGCTATAATTATTAACGTAAACTACCCCCACTCCCCCAGCATATTTAATACCATCATAAAAATAACCAATAAGGATTACAAACTGCAATTTCTGCCAGTTACATATACACAGTCATCAAAAACAAGCAAATAACCAGCTTTAAAATAATAACAAATAAAACTTAAAAATTAAAAATAATAGCAATTTTTACCTATCATAACAACACCTATATACATGTATGCGAGGAAATGTTATTCAGCGAAAGAATAGAAAAATGCTCCGATTGCTGACATGTATACATTCACGAGACATTCACGAGAAATTTTCGCTACACTTCCGATCTTTGAATTTTAACATACAAATACGTATATATATAGACAACAGCACACATATACATACATATATCAAGTCCCATACTGTCCACATATGTTTATGTCTGTATGAGCCCCGGCGGACGAGCGAGTGTGTATGTGTGTCTGCGTACCTCAACGGGTGTACGGACATGCATCTATGTTTGCGTTAGCATGAGTGACATAACAACGACGATCCCCCCACCACTTCCATAATAACACCAATTCACGCACTCTACATAAATCAAAAATTAATCAGTTTGTCTGACGATCGCAAAAGCGTGAAACCCAGGGTTACAAACTCACATCAATCCAACCATATATATATATATATATTAGATATATATATACATATCATATATATATAAATTATATATATACATATAATATATATATATTATATATATAATATATATATATATATATATATATATATATATATATATATATATATATATATATATATATATATATATATATATATATATATATATATACGGAATAAAATATATACATATAATACATATACATTATATATATAAATATAATATATGAATCTATCTATCTCTATATATATTATGTTATATATAAAACTCTGTGTTTGTGTTCGCGAACTCCTCGAGAACCATAAGGTATATTTCCACCAAATTTGGAACATAGATTGTACTCGATACTGGGTGTGTCTAGGCAAAAAAATTAGTCATTTTTCAAAAATCAATAATCGATAATCGATAAATATAATGTTTAAATGGGAATTTCCATTAGTTTAGTTGTTTTTAAACTTTCAAACTTGAAGTCTAAACCCTAAAGCCGATTCTAATGAAACTTAATAAGTGTATGCAACTTACTGTCACGCTTATTATACGCTATATTGATTTTCGTTTCTCTCAGCACTGGGACCTCCAGGGTGCCCCAAAGGGACCCAAAAAAAATTCAAATTGCTTCGATTTTGATGAAATTTTGTATGTTTATTACGCTCTTACAATGAGATAGAAATCGGTTGTCAGATTTTTAAAAATGCATGAGGGGCCCCCCAAGATGACCCTTATAAATCACTTGGAATTCACTGAAAAATCAACACTGGGACCCCCACGATTTAAGGGACCAGCAGGGAAACACCGAAATTTTCAATTAAGTCTGTAGCACTGGCCATAAAGTCGATTAAATAGAAAACTTTAAAAAGATGTGCTTTATTATTTCAATTACTATTAGTCTTAAACCTGTCCTTTGGCTTGAAATTTGGAACCCCAAGGGTGAACTAAAGGGACCCCCAAATTTTCAAATTGCTTCGATTTCGACGGAATTTTATATGTATATTACAATCTTAAAATGAATCAAAAACAATTATCAAATTTTGAAAACTACATAAGGGGCTCCCAAGATGACACATGAACACCTTGCTGCCCCTTAGTCTTCCCATTGTAGTGGTTAGCAGCATTCTGATGAAAATTTGCACATAATTTGTGTTTAGATCAATCAACTCAAAATCAAAACTGACACCCCATGTGTCTTAAATACATTATGAAAAATATCAGTTTTACCCATGGATTTCCCGTTTTGGTACTGAAATAGTTTAGTTTGCATTAACTTGACGGCAAAAATTATATCCTTCCTTAAGAAAAAAAGAATAAGTGCAAACGAAAGTGTGCACTGCTGAGAGAAGTGCACGTATGTATAAGACTCATAGATCGATCGAGATGTGTAGTGTGTACAATTGATTTCGCTTCACGTGCAATGATCGATCGAGTTATGATTGATTTTGCTTCACGTGTAATGTTCATTAGTGCTATGTGATGAAATAAATGCAAAAAATCTCATTCGCATCAAAGTTGTCATCCAGTAAAAAGATAAGCCGCCTTCATGCATGTATATTTTGAATTTTTGGTACTTTAAATTTAAATTTGTGAAAATCATATTATTAAAAATGTTTATGCCAATTTTTAATTATGTATTTATCATCTTCTAACCAGCGTTTAAATAATGCTGACTAACTCATATATTTGGAAACTTGAGTTCGGGTAATGCTGCTAGTACATTATATATATATATATATATATATATATATATATATATATATATATATATATGTGTGTACGTATTGTTACGAATTATAAAAATTATACCAATGCTTATATTTTAGAAGAATTCTGAAATAAAGAGCCCAGTACTTTCAGAAAACGTAGAAATAGGAAGGGCAAAGAGTTAATGTAGAACTTAGTGTCGACAGAGATTAACCAGAATGTACACTTTCTTTCTCTTTTGGTCTTGTGATGACAGCATGATTTAGCCGGATGAATTCCAGGTAGAAAACTCTCTCTTACTGCGCAGATTAGAGGAAGGGTTAACAACATCATTTTGCTCATAATGATAAAGGGTTCCCTATCTGAAAATAAGGACAACGTAGCAACAACAACAAAAAAATAAAAAAAAATAAAGGAATAGTAAAACGAAAAAGTCAGTCCTGTCCAGGCATTCGGGCCGGACGGACGCGTCTGCGAAAAATGCAAAATTCCTATCCTGACCCCCAAGTAGGACGGACGCGTTTGCGAAAAATGCAAAAGTCCTGTCCAGGCTGCCGGGCTGGAAGGACGCGTCGGCGAAAGTTTTGGTCGGGGATGCTAAAGTGAGGTCATCTTCGAATGGGGCGGACGGACGCGTTTGCTATAAATGCAAAAGTCGTGTGATGTTATGCGAAAGAGAGTCCATCTTCGAAAGGAATGGATAGACGCGGTTGCTATAAACGTGAAAGTTTTGGTTGGTTATGCGAAAAAAAAGTCCCTCTTCGAGCCGAACGGACGACTGACCGCAAGTGCGATGAATGCGACATCAATGTTTGGATTCTGAGAAAACAACTACGACGTACGCGGAATGCTGTACAAAAAAGAGATAGAGAGAAGACAGCTTCGATTTATCTATCAGCCGAACCCCCCTAGACCAGAGGCTTTTAGAAGAAGAAAGAAAGAAAGCGAGAAAAGAGATACTCATAAAGAGATACTCATAGGAAAAAGAAAGAAAGAAAGAAAGAAAGAAAGAAAGAAAAGAGAAAAAAAAGTGCTGCTATATCGAGACGAAGGGGAGAGAGAGAAAACAGTTTCAACTTAATTGTCCTCAAGCCCCTAGACCAGACGCTTTTAGAAGAAGAAAGAAAGAAAGCGAGAAAAGAGATACTCATAAAGAGATACTCATAGGAAAAAAGAAAGAAAGAAAGAAAGAAAAGATGTAAAAAGTGCTGCTATATCGAGACGAAGGGGAGAGAGAGAGAAAAGAGTTTCAACTTAATTGTCACTCAAGCCCCTAGACCAGACGCTTTTAGAAGAAGAAAAAAAAAAAGCGAGAAAAGAGATACTCATAAAGAGATACTCATAGGAAAAGAAAGAAAGAAAGAAAAAGAAAAGATGTAAAAAAGTGCTGCTATATCGAGACGAAGGGGAGAGAGAGAAAAACAGTTTCAACTTAATTGTCACTCAAGCCCCTAGACCAGACGCTTTAGAAGAAGAAAGAAAGAAAGCGAGAAAAGAGATACTCATAAAGAGATACTCATAGGAAAAAAAAGAAAGAAAGAAAGAAAGAAAAGATGTAAAAAAAGTGCTGCTATATCGAGACGAAGGGGAGAGAGAGAAAACAGTTTCAACTTAATTGTCCTCAAGCCCCTAGACCAGACGCTTTTAGAAGAAGAAAAAGAAAGCGAGAAAAGAGATACTCATAAAGAGATACTCATAGGAAAAAAGAAAGAAAGAAAGAAAAGAAAGAAAAAGATGTAAAAAAGTGCTGCTATATCGAGACGAAGGGGGGAGAGAGAAAACAGTTTCAACTTAATTGTCACTCAAGCCCCTAGACCAGACGCTTTTAGAAGAAGAAAGAAAGAAAGCGATAAAAGAGATACTCATAAAGAGATACTCATAGGAAAAAAAAGAAAGAAAGAAAGAAAGAAAAAAAAAGAAAGAAAAAGATGTAAAAAAAGTGCTGCTATATCGAGACGAAGGGGGAGAGAGAAAACAGTTTCAACTTAATTGTCACTCAAGCCCCCTAGACCAGACGCTTTTAGAAGAAGAAAGAAAGAAAGCGAGAAAAGAGATACTCATAAAGAGATACTCATAGGAAAAAGAAAGAAAAGAAAAAAAAAAGATGTAAAAAAGTGCTGCTATATCGAGACGAAGGGGGGAGAGAGAAAACAGTTTCAACTTAATTGTCACTCAAACCCCTAGACCAGACGCTTTTAGAAGAAGAAAAAAGAAAGCGAGAAAAGAGATACTCATAAAGAGATACTCATAGGAAAAAGAAAGAAAGAAAGAAAGAAAGAACAGATGTAAAAAAGTGCTGCTATATCGAGACGAAGGGGGAGAGAGAGAAAACAGTTTCAACTTAATTGTCACTCAAGCCCCTAGACCAGACGCTTTTAGAAGAAGAAAGAAAGAAAGCGAGAAAAGAGATACTCATAAAGAGATACTCATAGGAAAAAGAAAGAAAGAAAAAAAAAAAAGAAAGAAAGAAAAGAAAAAAAAGTGCTGCTATATCGAGACGAAGGGGAGAGAGAGAAAACAGTTTCAACTTAATTGTCACTCAAGCCCCCTAGACCAGACGCTTTTAGAAGATGAAAGAAAGAAAGGAGAAAAGAGATACTCATAAAGAGATACTCATAGGAAAAAAAAGAAAAGAAAAGAAAGAAAGAAAAGATGTAAAAAAGTGCTGCTATATCGAGACGAAGGGGGAGAGAGAGAAAACAGTTTCAACTTAATTGTCACTCAAGCCCCTAGACCAGACGCTTTTAGAAGAAGAAAGAAAGAAAGCGAGAAAAGAGATACTCATAAAGAGATACTCATAGGAAAAAGAAAGAAAGAAAGAAAGAAAAGATGTAAAAAAGTGCTGCTATATCGAGACGAAGGGGGGAGAGAGAAAACAGTTTCAATTTAATTGTCCTCAAGCCCCTAGACCAGACGCTTTTAGAAGAAAAAAAGAAAGCGAGAAAAGAGATACTCATAAAAAGAGATACTCATAGGAAAAGAAAGAAAGAAAGAAAGAAAGAAAAAAAAGATGTAAAAAAAGTGCTGCTATATCGAGACGAAGGGGGAGAGAGAAAACAGTTTCAACTTAATTGTCCTCAAGCCACTAGACCAGACGCTTTTAGAAGAAAAAAAGAAAAGTGAGAAAAGAGATACTCAAAAAGAGATACTCATAGGAAAAGAAAGAAAGAAAGAAAGAAAGAAAGAAAAAAGATGTAAAAAAGTGCTGCTATATCGAGACGAAGGGGGAGAGAGAAAACAGTTTCAACTTAATTGTCACTCAAGCCCCTAGACCAGACGCTTTTAGAAGAAGAAAAAAAAAAAGCGAGAAAAGAGATACTCATAAAGAGATACTCATAGGAAAAAAAAGAAAGAAAGAAAAGAAAGAAAGAAAAAGATGTAAAAAAGTGCTGCTATATCGAGACGAAGGGGAGAGAGAGAAACAGTTTCAACAATTGTCACTCAAGCCCCTAGACCAGACGCTTTAGAAGAAGAAAAAAAAAGCGAGAAAAGAGATACTCATAAAGAGATACTCATAGGAAAAAAAAAGAAAGAAAGAAAGAAAAGATGTAAAAAAAAGTGCTGCTATATCGAGACGAAGGGGGGAGAGAGAAAACAGTTTCAACAATTGTCACTCAAGCCCCCTAGACCAGACGCTTTTAGAAGAAGAAAAAAAAGCGAGAAAAGAGATACTCATAAAGAGATACTCATAGGAAAAAAAAAAGAAAGAAAGAAAGAAAAGAAAAGATGTAAAAAAAGTGCTGCTATATCGAGACGAAGGGGGAGAGAGAGAAAACAGTTTCAACAATTGTCCTCAAGCCCCTAGACCAGACGCTTTTAGAAGAAGAAAGAAAGAAAGCGAGAAAAGAGATACTCATAAAGAGATACTCATAGGAAAAAGAAAGAAAGAAAGAAAGAAAGAAAAGATGTAAAAAAGTGCTGCTATATCGAGACGAAGGGGGGAGAGAGAAAACAGTTTCAACTTAATTGTCCTCAAACCCCTAGACCAGACGCTTTTAGAAGAAGAAAAAGAAAGGAGAAAAGAGATACTCATAAAGAGATACTCATAGGAAAAAGAAAGAAAGAAAGAAAGAAAGAACAGATGTAAAAAAGTGCTGCTATATCGAGACGAAGGGGGGAGAGAGAGAAAACAGTTTCAACTTAATTGTCACTCAAGCCCCTAGACCAGACGCTTTTAGAAGAAGAAAGAAAGAAAGCGAGAAAAGAGATACTCATAAAGAGATACTCATAGGAAAAAGAAAGAAAGAAAGAAAGAAAGAAAGAAAGAAAGAAAGAAAAGATGTAAAAAAGTGCTGCTATATCGAGACGAAGGGGGAGAGAGAGAAAACAGTTTCAACTTAATTGTCACTCAAGCCCCTAGACCAGACGCTTTTAGAAGATGAAAGAAAGAAAGCGAGAAAAGAGATACTCATAAAAGAGATACTCATAGGAAAAGAAAGAAAGAAAGAAAGAAAGAAAGAAAAGATGTAAAAAAGTGCTGCTATATCGAGACGAAGGGGAGAGAGAGAAAACAGTTTCAACAATTGTCCTCAAGCCCCTAGACCAGACGCTTTTAGAAGAAGAAAGAAAGAAAGCGAGAAAAGAGATACTCATAAAGAGATACTCATAGGAAAAAGAAAGAAAGAAAGAAAGAAAGAAAAGATGAAAAAAAGTGCTGCTATATCGAGACGAAGGGGGAGAGAGAGAAAAGAGTTTCAACTTAATTGTCACTCAAGCCCCTAGACCAGACGCTTTTAGAAGAAAAAAAAAGAAAGAGAAAAGAGATACTCATAAAGAGATACTCATAGGAAAAAGAAAGAAAGAAAGAAAGAAAAGATGTAAAAAAGTGCTGCTATATCGAGACGAAGGGGGAGAGAGAAAACAGTTTCAACAATTGTCCTCAAGCCCCTAGACCAGACGCTTTTAGAAGAAGAAAAAGAAAGCGAGAAAAGAGATACTCATAAAGAGATACTCATAGGAAAAAAGAAAGAAAGAAAGAAAGAAAGAAAGAAAAGATGTAAAAAAGTGCTGCTATATCGAGACGAAGGGGAGAGAAAACAGTTTCAACTTAATTGTCCTCAAGCCCCTAGACCAGACGCTTTTAGAAGAAGAAAAGAAAGCGAGAAAAGAGATACTCATAAAGAGATACTCATAGGAAAAAAGAAAGAAAGAAAGAAAGAAAGAAAAGAAAAGATGTAAAAAAAGTGCTGCTATATCGAGACGAAGGGGGGAGAGAGAGAAAACAGTTTCAACTTAATTGTCACTCAAGCCCCTAGACCAGACGCTTTAGAAGAAAAAAAAAAAGCGAGAAAAGAGATACTCATAAAGAGATAGTCATAGAAAAAAGAAAGAAAGAAAGAAAGAAAGAAAAGATGTAAAAAGTGCTGCTATATCGAGACGAGGGGGGAGAGAGAAAACAGTTTCAACTTAATTGTCACTCAAGCCCCTAGACCAGACGCTTTTAGAAGAAGAAAAAAGAAAGCGAGAAAAGAGATACTCATAAAGAGATACTCATAGGAAAAAGAAAGAAAGAAAGAAAGAAAGAAAGAAAGAAAGAAAGAAAGAAAAGATGTAAAAAAGTGCTGCTATATCGAGACGAAGGGGGAGAGAGAGAAAACAGTTTCAACTTAATTGTCACTCAAGCCCCTAGACCAGACGCTTTTAGAAGAAGAAAAAAGAAAGCGAGAAAAGAGATACTCATAAAGAGATACTCATAGGAAAAAGAAAGAAAGAAAGAAAGAAAGAAAGAAAGAAAAGATGTAAAAAAAGTGCTGCTATATCGAGACGAAGGGGAAGAGAGAGAGAAAACAGTTTCAACAATTGTCACTCAAGCCCCTAGACCAGACGCTTTTAGAAGAAGAAAAAAGAAAGCGAGAAAAGAGATACTCATAAAGAGATACTCATAGGAAAAAAGAAAGAAAGAAAGAAAGAAAAGATGTAAAAGTGCTGCTGCTATATCGAGACGAAGGGGGAGAGAGAAAACAGTTTCAATTTAATTGTCACTCAAGCCCCTAGACCAGACGCTTTTAGAAGAAGAAAAAAGAAAGCGAGAAAAGAGATACTCATAAAGAGATACTCATAGGAAAAAGAAAGAAAGAAAGAAAGAAAGAAAGAAAAGATGTAAAAAAGTGCTGCTATATCGAGACGAAGGGGGGAGAGAGAAAACAGTTTCAACTTAATTGTCACTCAAGCCACTAGACCAGACGCTTTTAGAAGAAGAAAAAGAAAAGTGAGAAAAGAGATACTCATAAAGAGATACTCATAGGAAAAAGAAAGAAAAGAAAGAAAAGAAAGAAAGAAAAGAAAAAGATGAAAAAAAAGTGCTGCTATATCGAGAGACGAAGGGGAGAGAGAAAACAGTTTCAACTTAATTGTCACTCAAGCCCCTAGACCAGACGCTTTTAGAAGAGAAAAAAAGAAAGCGAGAAAAGAGATACTCATAAAGAGATACTCATAGGAAAAGAAAGAAAGAAAGAAAGAAAAGAAAGAAAAAAGATGTAAAAAAGTGCTGCTATATCGAGACGAAGGGGGAGAGAGAGAAAACAGTTTCAACTTAATTGTCACTCAAGCCCCTAGACCAGACGCTTTTAGAAGAAGAAAAAAGAAAGCGAGAAAAGAGATACTCATAAAGAGATACTCATAGGAAAAAGAAAGAAAGAAAGAAAGAAAGAAAAGATGTAAAAAAGTGCTGCTATATCGAGACGAAGGGGGAGAGAGAGAAAACAGTTTCAACTTAATTGTCACTCAAGCCCCTAGACCAGACGCTTTAGAAGAAGAAAAAGAAAGCGAGAAAAGAGATACTCATAAAGAGATACTCATAGGAAAAAGAAAAGAAAGAAAGAAAAAAGAAAAAAAGTAAAAAAAAGTGCTGCTATATCGAGACGAAGGGGGAGAGAGAAAACAGTTTCAACTTAATTGTCCTCAAGCCCCTAGACCAGACGCTTAGAAGAAGAAGAAAGAAAAGAAAGGAGAAAAGAGATACTCATAAAGAGATACTCATAGGAAAAAGAAAGAAAGAAAGAAAAAGAAAAAAGATGTAAAAAAAGTGCTGCTATATCGAGACGAAGGGGAGAGAGAGAAAACAGTTTCAACTTAATTGTCACTCAAACCCCTAGACCAGACGCTTTTAGAAGAAGAAAAAAGAAAGGAGAAAAGAGATACTCATAAAGAGATACTCATAGGAAAAAAGAAAGAAAGAAAGAAAGAAAGAACAGATGTAAAAAAGTGCTGCTATATCGAGACGAAGGGGGGGAGAGAGAAAACAGTTTCAACTTAATTGTCACTCAAGCCCCTAGACCAGACGCTTTTAGAAGAAGAAAGAAAGAGAAGATACTCATAAAGAGATACTCACCAAGGAAAAAGAAAGAAAGAAAGAAAGAGAAAAAGAAAGAAAAGATGTAAAAAAGTGCTGCTATAAAGAGAGAGAGAAAACAGTTTCAACAATTGTCCTCAAGCCCCTAGACCAGACGCTTTAGAAGAAGAAAAAAAGGAAAAGAAAAAAGATACTCATAAAAGAAAGGAAAAAGAAAGAAAGAAAAAGAAAGAAAAAGATGTAAAAAAGTGCTGCTATATCGAGACGAAGGGGAGAGAGAGAAAACAGTTTCAACTTAATTGTCCTCAAGCCCCCCTAGACCAGACGCTTTTAGAAGATGAAAAAAGAAAGCGAGAAAAGAGATACTCATAAAGAGATACTCATAGGAAAAAAGAAAGAAAGAAAGAAAGAAAGAAAGAAGAAAAAGAAAAGAAAAGATAAAAAAGTGCTGCTATATCGAGACGAAGGGGGAGAGAAAACAGTTTCAACTTAATTGTCCTCAAGCTTTTTAGAAGAGACCAGAAAGCGAGAAAAAGAGATACCTATAAAGAGATACTCAAGGAAAAGAAAAGAAAGAAAGCGAAAAAAAGAGATATCGAGACGAAGGGGAGAGAGAGAAAAGAGATAACTCATAGACCAGACGCTTTTAGAAAAGAAAAAAGAAAGAAAAAGAACTCAAAGAAAGAAAGAAAGAAAAAGAAAAGATGAAAAAAAGTGCTGCTATATCGAGACGAAGGGGGGAGAGAGAGAAAAGAGTTTCAACTTAATTGTCACTCAAGCCCCTAGACCAGACGCTTTTAGAAGAAGAAAAAAGAAAGCGAGAAAAGAGATACTCATAAAGAGATACTCATAGGAAAAAGAAAGAAAAGAAAAAGAAAAAAAGATGTAAAAAAAAGTGCTGCTATATCGAGACGAAGGGGGAGAGAGAAAACAGTTTCAACTTAATTGTCACTCAAGCCCCTAGACCAGACGCTTTTAGAAGAAGAAAAAGAAAGCGAGAAAAGAGATACTCATAAAGAGATACTCTTAGGAAATAGGAAAAAGAAAAAAGAAAGAAAAGAAAAGAAAGAAAAGAAAAGATGTAAAAAAAAGTGCTGCTATATCGAGACGAAGGGGAGAGAGAGAAAACAGTTTCAACTTAATTGTCCTCAAGCCCCTAGACCAGACGCTTTTAGAAGAAGAAAAAAGAAAGCGAGAAAAAGAGATACTCATAAAGAGATACTCATAGGAAAAAAAGAAAGAAAGAAAGAAAGAAAGAAAAAGATGTAAAAAGTGCTGCTATATCGAGACGAAGGGGAGAGAGAGAAAACAGTTTCAACTTAATTGTCCTCAAGCCCCTAGACCAGACGCTTTTAGAAGAAGAAAAAGAAAGCGAGAAAAGAGATACTCATAAAAGAGATAGTCATAGGAAAAAGAAAGAAAGAAAGAAAGAAAGAAAAGATGTAAAAAAAGTGCTGCTATATCGAGACGAAGGGGGAGAGAGAGAAAACAGTTTCAACTTAATTGTCACTCAAGCCCCTAGACCAGACGCTTTTAGAAGAAGGAAAAAAAAGCGAGAAAAGAGATACTCATAAAGAGATACTCATAGGAAAAAAAAGAAAGAAAGAAAGAAAGAAAGAAAGAAAAGATGTAAAAAAAGTGCTGCTATATCGAGACGAAGGGGGGAGAGAGAAAACAGTTTCAACTTAATTGTCCTCAAGCCCCTAGACCAGACGCTTTTAGAAGAAGAAAAAGAAAGCGAGAAAAGAGATACTCATAAAGAGATACTCATAGGAAAAAAGAAAGAAAGAAAGAAAGAAAGAAAAAGAAAGAAAAAAGATGAAAAAAAAAGTGCTGCTATATCGAGACGAAGGGGAGAGAGAGAAAACAGTTTCAACTTAATTGTCCTCAAGCCCCTAGACCAGACGCTTTTAGAAGAAGAAAAAAAAGCGAGAAAAGAGAGATACTCATAAAAGAGATACTCATAGGAAAAAAAAAGAAAGAAAGAAAGAAAGAAAGAAAAGAAAGAAAAGAAAAGATGTAAAAAAAGTGCTGCTATATCGAGACGAAGGGGGGAGAGAGAGAAAACAGTTTCAACTTAATTGTCACTCAAGCCCCTAGACCAGACGCTTTTAGAAGAAGAAAAAAGAAAGCGAGAAAAGAGATACTCATAAAGAGATACTCATAGGAAAAAGAAAGAAAGAAAGAAAGAAAGAAAGAAAAGATGTAAAAAAGTGCTGCTATATCGAGACGAAGGGGGAGAGAGAGAAAACAGTTTCAACTTAATTGTCACTCAAGCCCCTAGACCAGACGCTTTTAGAAGAAGAAAAAAGAAAGTGAGAAAAGAGATACTCATAAAGAGATACTCATAGGAAAAAGAAAGAAAGAAAGAAAGAAAGAAAGAAAGAAAAGATGTAAAAAAGTGCTGCTATATCGAGACGAAGGGGGAGAGAGAGAAAACAGTTTCAACTTAATTGTCACTCAAGCCCCTAGACCAGACGCTTTTAGAAGAAGAAAAAGAAAGCGAGAAAAGAGATACTCATAAAGAGATACTCATAGGAAAAAGAAAGAAAGAAAGAAAGAAAAGATGTAAAAAAGTGCTGCTATATCGAGACGAAGGGGGAGAGAGAGAAAACAGTTTCAACTTAATTGTCACTCAAGCCCCTAGACCAGACGCTTTTAGAAGAAGAAAAAAGAAAGAGAGAAAAGAGATACTCATAAAGAGATACTCATAGGAAAAAAAAGAAAGAAAGAAAGAAAGAAAGAAAAGAAAGAAAAGATGTAAAAAAAAGTGCTGCTATATCGAGACGAAGGGGAGAGAGAGAAAACAGTTTCAACTTAATTGTCACTCAAGCCCCTAGACCAGACGCTTTTAGAAGAAGAAAAAGAAAGCGAGAAAAGAGATACTCATAAAGAGATACTCATAGGAAAAAAAAGAAAGAAAGAAAGAAAGATAGAAAGAAAAAGATGCAAAAAAAGTGCTGCTATATCGAGACGAAGGGGGGAGAGAGAAAACAGTTTCAACTTAATTGTCACTCAAGCCCCTAGACCAGACGCTTTAGAAGAAGAAAAAAAGAAAGAGAAAAGAGATACTCATAAAGAGATACTCATGGGAAAAAGAAAGAAAGAAAGAAAGAAAGAAAGAAAGAAAGAAAGAAAGAAAAGATGTAAAAAAGTGCTGCTATATCGAGACGAAGGGGGAGAGAGAGAAAACAGTTTCAACTTAATTGTCACTCAAGCCACTAGACAAGACGAAAAGAAAAAGAAAGAAAAGACCTCAAAAAGAAACGCTTCTAATACAAAAAGAAATAGAGAGAAAAGGCAAAAGAAAAAGAAAGTGAAACGAAAAAAAAATAAGGAAAAAACAAAACAAAAGAAGTAGATATAAGAGACATTAATGAAAAAGATCTTTTATGACGACAGATAAGTTCGTTGATTTTCTTATGTTTTCATTTCGTTGAATGTTCATAATTTCATGCAAGTCTGGCATGAGATCCTTTCGTTATTACATGTTTCCCTCTACTTGTCTTACATTTTTGTTTTTGTAAATTGATGCAAGTATGGTACATGTTCTGTAAATTAGCGCAAGTGCGGCACAAGGTCATAAGTTGATTTGTGATTTCCCTTTCTAAGAGGATGTTAATCTCCCACTATTTTGTCCGCAATGTTTAAATGTTTATTTTTGACATATTGTCATTTTGTTTTGCCCGTCTTTCATTTTTTCCCCTGTTTATGTGTTTAATAATAAATTTATTCCTTATCTCTATATATCTGGATTATCGTTGTTTGTCGACCATCGGGTTTGTTCCTTAATCGGTTCCGCTGCACGTTGCGATCCTCCTCTGTCTGCGCAATCGATACGGGAGAGGGTCGTATATAATATATATATATATATATATATATATATATATATATATATGTATTTACACACACACATACACACACACATATATATATATTTACACACACACACACACACACACAGACACACGCACACACACACACACATATATATTAAGACATTTTTATGTTTATACATTCTTTTTCTAAATATTTAAGTAAAATAATTGTCGGACTTTGTCCATTTCATAATGTGTGACGTCATTTGTTTACATTTGGATACACCATGTGCAGATATGAATGTACGTGACAGAATCATGGAAGATTGTAGTTTAAAGACAGTAAAATCGACCTTGCTAACCGAACGCGCCTCTGTGGCCAAATCGGTTAGAGGCACGTCAGGGTATATGACGGTTCCGTATAGGATACAGCTTCGATTCCTGTCAGAGGACGAATATTTTCTAAGAAAATTTCTCGGACATTCAGGACGGTAAATGTTGTTAATACTGTTTATTATAAACAGAGCATTTACTTAAATATTTGCATCTATCAAAAAAGAATGTATCAACATAAAAATGTCTTAAAATAATTGTCGGACTTTGTCCATTTCATAATATATATATATATATATATATATATATATATATATATGTGTGTGTGTGTATGTGTGTGTGTGTGTGTGTCTATTATAAATTTACTTATTTAAAAATATGGTTCCATCGCTTCACAGGAATTAACATATTTCAAAAAACAGAAGCTAAAATCTTCAAAATCAATTATAGAATTAAATTAAATTAAAGTCCCTCGTTGTGCTTGATTTTCAAGCGAATTTTGGAATAAGTTATTTTGAAATTTACTGAGTTTTATAAACACATACTTTCATAATATTAGTTTCTATGGATACGCGGAGAAATTCAATCATTTTATGAGGATTTCTACAATGACATAATTTTTGTTTATCTTCATCTCTTTTTATTATTATATTGTCTTATTTTCTCTGGTATTGGTTTGTTTCTTCATAATTTTTTCAAAGTTTTCAGTACAGCTGTAACTTAATTTTAGGGTATTTTTTTATTGAAAATAGTACTGAGTTTACTATCTTTAGGATAATGCAAGGAATTTTTGTCCTAATTTGTTCTTTACCATTTGGTAGTATGAGGGTGTATACCAAATTATTTTTCTGTCTCTGTTTTTTCTATGCTTTCCGTTTTCATTTTTGATGTAAGTTAGCTTTCGGCTTTTGTAGCCACTATCTTTTAGAGCTTTATTATAGAAATTAATATGTTCATAGAAAATTTTAACCATACTACCAAAAGAAAATACATAAAAGAAAGGCAAGAGAAATAGAGAAGTATATTAAAAATTACCCAGATTCATAAGAAGAGGAAATTTAAGAAGATAGGAAATAGAAAGATGTTGATACGAATTAAACCAATGAAATCCTGTTGAATCAGAGAATTCAAATTTGAACGGAAACGCAGCGTGTATGGATACACTCTATCGAACATGTCGCATTTACAATTCTATGTCATTTGTACATGAAGGCATATATTCAAACAAAATTATTTACAGAATGTAAAAAACGGACACTTTAAGAAGCAATACAATACTTAACAAAACCAACTTTACAATAGAAATTATAATACAAAAATTTAAACCTTTATATTATTATTTTAATTATAAAGTATTATTAAAAGACCAAAAGAAAAATAATTAAAATAAAATAAAAATAAATTAAAATTAAAAATAAAAATAAATATATAATTTAAGGCCAATCGAACTACTAGTAAATAACAAATATTAACCAATTTAATGCCTAAAACTGGGATAACAATGATAACAATGAAATGTTTATAAAGATAATAAACATAAGATTGATTCTAGGGTTAGGAAATTTAGCAAGATTGCAAGATTTTACAACTTATCGCTGTTTCGTATCTTTGATTCAACAAAATATCACTATTTGAGAATTTAATTATTTCCATTTCCTCCTGTAGACAGAGGAAACATGGTTCATTTAAAGACTTAAAGATTCTAGCTAGTTTTAGAATTTTCCATTTAACTTTATGTGTTTTATTTTCATCTTTCAGTTTCCAAAAATATTTAGAATGTGAAGTCATATTTCCTTTATCTGCATTATTAAAGGATGAGAGTTATAGAAACGTTTTTTAAATTCATTCATTGTACTTCCAACGTAAATTCATTCGAAAATCCTGGAATTTCCAACTGATGTAACAGTACACATATACACAAGGGATTTTGTTAAACACTTGTTAGATAACGGGCATTGGTTGAGATTTTTACAATTACATATGTTATTTATAGGAGAGAAATGAAGATCAGCATTAGCATTACGATTATTATTGTTATATAATTTCAATATTTTATTGTTATGTGATTTAATTATTTTCTGTAAATTATTAGTACAACTATAACTAAGTTATAGAGTGTTCCGATTGAAAATTGTACTCAAAGAAATTTTAGGAAAAATACACACACACACACACACATATATATATATATATATATATATATATATATATGTATTGAAATCTAAAAAAACAATTTCTCGCTGTCCGTATTTACTTTCGTCGGCATGATTTTTATGTTTTACAGGTTCAATAAAATCGATATTTTCCCCCTTACCAATGTTTGTAAAAACTTAAACTGCAAACAATATAACTGCCACTGATATTTATTGTATTTATTCTAAAGAATACCTACTAAAAATGTATATTTATTTGACGTAAAAGAAATGAGAAATGATAAGTTTTTATCTCTTCTTTTAATCGGAATATTTCCAATCACATTTGTCATATTAATTTAGTGATTTTGATTATAAATATGAATATAAAATATAATATCTTGTAGTTAAAAATTAAGACTAGAAGTGAACTAACATTGAGAATTCTATGCACTAGAAAATTTAATCTAGCAACACAAGACTTTATTTCTCTCTTTTTAACGAGATACAAACACTTGACTTGAAATCTTACACTCTTGTGCTTTCTACCTTTGTCATACACATACATGCATCTTTATATATATATATATATATATATATATATATATATATATATATATAGATACATACATACATAGAAGGTGAGACATATGTGCGTAAATACGTTCGCCATTGTTTCTTGCGTTTTATTAAGGTAAATGCAGCAGACAGATTTACTTCATATAATTAGTGTTTTCGATTGGATTTCCTTAACAATAAGAGAACAGTGATGTTTTCGTGACTGAAATATTTAGAACTTCATTTTGATGTTCTTACGTGCATCACGCCTCAAATCAACCTCTCCCATTCTCTCATACAAATTCATAAAAATGAAAAAGATAAATAAAAAGACTCCAACGATTAGAAAAATAAAGGGTAAGAGTACATTTTCGGGTAAAGAGTTTGAATGGTTAGATTTTTTGAATTAAATAAAAGGAATAAAGTCAACTACGTTTCAAAGATAATACCTATGTGTATTTACAATGAAAGCAAAAATAGAAGCAGAAGTAAAAAAGAAGAAGAAATAAGCAAGAAAAATGTATGAGAGAAAATAAGGAAGTTGAAATTGTGAAAATCATTTTAAGAAAAGAAAAACCCAAAATGCGAAGATCAATGGATAGAAGATGAAAAAAAAAAAAAAAAAAAAAAAAAAAAAAAAAAATACAAAGAGAGGAAGTAAGAAAAAGGAATTAAAAAAGAAATGCAAAGAATGATGTACGAAAAGAATGAAAAAAAACAAGTGGGAAAAAATCACGATGAATGAAAAATAAAAAATGAAGCAAAATTTATGAAAAAAGTTAAACATTACGAATAATAAGATTAGAAGCTGGCAAAAATTAAGGGAAGAAAAATAGTATACACTATAAAAGTAGAAAAAGAAATAAGGATAGAAAAGTAAAAAGAATGTAAATACTGGAAGTAAATAAAGCAAAGTAAAGTATGTGATTTGTTTTTATGTTCTCTTAAAAAAAATGAAACCACTGCATGAAAATTGGCCGTGTTCAATATGATCCCATTATTCTCGAACTTTTAAATGTTTTAAGCTTACTGTAATGAAGCATTTTATCAATATAAAGCAAAACCAGATTGCAGTGTGTCATTCAACTGAAATGGAGGCTCTACTGTTGTGTTAAGTTTAAGACCTTTACTGATTCCAGTATTGTAGTTGGTTCGTCCCTACATTGCCATGGCCACTTTACCAGGATCATACGTCAGGCTTCACGCAATGCAATTACCTTGTTTATTTGCAGAAAGATATGAAAGCCTATTTTCTTATTCAAGTCGCGTGTTAATTTAACGGATGTAGGCGGGAAATGGCGTTGGAAATTGAAACAATAATAATAAAAAAAGATTAACCTTTGAATAAATGGGGACCTGATGTTTATCTGAAATCGTTATCAAAACCAAATCCAACAGATCGCTGATACGAGTGTTGAATTGGTTTTTGCAGACAGTCTTCTTTGGGGATTAAAATCACATATGCAGTATTTTTGTGAAATTAGCCGCAACCTAAATATTTTCGACTTTCAATTAGAATCTTTCTTTTTCTTTTTGTTTTGTTTAATTATGAACATGTTCCTCGTCTATATTAGATTAACCCGTTGAGTAAAAAGTCTTACACTATGTAATAAGAATCACAATTTTAGGTATTTGACTAATAAGAGTCACAATTTTAGGTATTTGACTAATACTGATATAAGAAAAACAAGTGATATCCAACGATCAAGTTAAATTACAGTGGTTTATGAGACTCATACGCTAACAACTGAATTAATTATTTCAAGTTTCTATTCAATGATATTTATTTTAGAAAATGCATTTCTGCATATCAGATAAACAGATCAATAGATTTCTTAATTAATTCTCTGATTGACTCTTATTTATTGTGACAGAAAGGGTTTTGTTACTTTTTTGTAACTATATAAATAAATATTCACATAAATGTGTAGATACAATAGGAAGATAATAGGAAGATAATAGGAAGATAATAGCTTTTTTACGGTTCTTAGTTGTCTCACGAAAATAAAACTTCTAATCGCAAATGCTATTTTTTAAAATTCACGAACAGAAAGAACTTTTAAGTTACTTTCAATCTTCAACATCTTTTTCAATCTTAAACATCTTTTTCCAGTTTAATAATATTATCTCGTTGATAATTTCGAATTTAGATTTTTGAAACTTGACACAAGCATTCACTCAAACATAAGCAGAAAACTTGCTATTGATGGAAACTTGCTCATTATTGCCGTGATTGACTAAAACAGTATATCTTTTTTATACATTATTCCTCTAAATGAAATAAAATAATAATTTTAATTAAGAAAAATGAAACATCACAGTAAATAACTGAGAACATACACATTAATAAACGAAATATACAAAAGATAAAATTTATATATGAGAGAGGGAGAGACAGACATATATATACAGATATGTGCAATACACATACATATGCAGACATATAGTACAGAAAATTAGGAGAACAGCCGATTCCGCTACATTGGTCTCAATCTTTCATTATCTTCAGGCGATTTCAGTCAATTGATTTCTTAAACATAAAAAAAAATTATGAACGCTATATCTTTTAAAAATATATAAATGAATAAGTGCACGATGTGAGGTGTGCTAGAAGGTGAGGAGTGGAAAATCAAGTGTATTGGAAATGTATCGGTGGGGTATTAAATGAAATATATATTTTCTTTTCATCTCATTTCATATGAACTCAAAAGGAACTTTTTAATATGTATACAATGGGACATAATTTCAAAAGGTTTTTTGGTCTGGAAATGTTATAGCTAATTTTTCTTGTTGACAAAGAATGCAGATGTTGCTATGATTATTGTAAGGTTTTGCTTTTTTTCCAGTTTACAATCTGATATTTTTTTCCTTTAGTTTCCACATATGGTTGGCTAGTTTTGTACAATTTCTAAGGCTTTCTAGCTTAAAAGATGCGTTGTGATTGCACCAACACTTTTAAAAGTTACACTCAGCACACCCTATGTATATTTGGGGGGGCATTTGCATTTATTACTTCTGTTTTGTAAATTACTGCTTCAGTTTTTCAAACTCCATCTAATGTAATCTAATTTTATTCCTACAATTGCGTATTTCACCGTTAACGATGTTATGTCGTTAGTTTTGAATTTTCTGGTTTCTTGTCTTTTTTTACAGTGGTTTCTAATTTACTAGTACAACTGTAAACTTAATTTTATTAAATCTTTTATGTAATTCGGAATTTTGGGGAAGTGCTTATTAAGTAATTTGAAAAATATTTTCCCTATTTTACTTTTAAAAGTAGCGGAATCAGCTGATCTAATTATCTTTATTTAAAAGCTCTACATGTTAAATTTTAATCGTTATATATATATATATATATATATATATATATATATATATATATATATATATATATTCGTCCATTGCGAGACATCTACAACAACATTCCTGTCCATATTCACAATATAAAAAATTACTAATCGACAAGACAACAGCAAATTCAGATTCAGATACTAGAAGCAATTTATATTCAAAAATTAAAGCCGGCACTGAACAGAATTAACTATGAATACTGCAGTGATGTTTTGAAATGCCTGTAAAGGAAGTTTTTTCACGCTTTAATGCGCACATGACCATGACATTATAACATAGGGGAAAGATTCCATAATGGATAAATTTTTTCACGTTCTAATGAACGCTCAGCGCATTGCAAACCGTTTTGCATTTAAGGGCATAATGAAAAAATTACGTTAATAGATAACAACAAACAACTTTGTATCAATATTTGTACTAATGAGAAACATAGATTTGTACTACTTGCACCCCTGAGGAAGATCGAAAGTACTTGGGAAATAAAAATAAAAGAAATTTAAACAGCTATAGCACATTTCTCTGATCCTTTAACATCAATACTCAGAAAGTTATTCGTGAGTATGAACGGATTTTGTTAAAATTAGCAGACATAATGTCTGTAATTTACTCAATCAGACATGCTAATATATATATATATATATATATATATATATATATATATATATATATATATATATACAATAATAGTATTAAAAGAACTGATTCAAAGTGCAAATTTTCGGAATAACAATTGAGATATTACTCTACTTATTGAACAATTTAGTTCATGCCACATTAGCTGATAAACTCCTGTAACAAAAAAATTCTCAAATTGCCATATTAATAAAAAACGCACTCACTTAAATTTTCCAAAAATTAAACCTTAGTGTTGCGACTAGTTTGTATCCGTAATCAATAACACATTTTAAAAAAATATATATATATATATATTTTGATTCGCATTATATTTGTTCGTGTCGGATGCTACCAGAATTTTGTCAAAAACAAAATAAATTCCATGCCTGAAGATGACTGAATGTACAGTTGAAAGTACTTGCGTATTTAAGGAAGACCTAATGCAGTTTATAATTTTAAAAAACAAGGATCATAACATTCATCGAGTGATTGGTCGGTTAATGCATCTTTAAAATTTTGTTAGCGGAAGGATTTCGTCATTTTATATCATTAACTTTACTAATTTACTTTTTTTGTATGAATGATTCATTGTAATATACACAAATATACGGACGTACGTATATATATATATATATATATATATATATATATATATATATATATATGTGTGTGTGTGTGTGTGTGTGTTAAACAGACACCCACTATTCATTAAAACCTCTTTCTGTTAGAGCATGCTGATTGTGACACTCTGTGAGTTTCTTCGTGACGGTCCTTGAACCGATATCTTTAACCAATTGAGAATTGCGCTACTTAGGTTTCTTATTAGGTGAAATGGAAGCTTTCATCCCTTCTCGGAAATACAAGGTAAAACCTCAATCCGCTCTATGGTCGACACCAGCATGCTTGGCCGCTATAGAACACAGGAACTACTATTTTCGGCTATGACATATAGCTATACATAGATTCTGGATAGTTCACGACACATTGAATCAACTTTCTTAGCAGCTGATCTAGCAATGGATTCAATTTAGTCTTTCCACTTTATGACATATGTACCAAGTTGATAGCTGATGTCATTGGGAATTCATAGTCAAAAACAAAGTAGAACCAAAGATAGAGCACTAGAGAGCACTGGATTCAATGCAGCCTTTCTACTACTTGTTAGCTGAGAACCTTAGCTAGAAATACGCAATGGATCTCATTCCTGGAGGTTTGCATCAGCCATGCTGATGGAAGGCAGAGAGTGGTCCATCAGATGATTAATGGAGAGAATTTATGGAGGCGTTAAAATTAACAAGTCTTCATTTGCCCCAGTTTACGACGGACTTGACGTTGTTTTGGACATCTGTTGCCATTTTGACCTTGTCAAACTGATCAGTATTATTATCGAGGCTGGAGTAAATAGTTGCGTCATCAGCGTCGATATTGAGAACTGATGTCATCTGAAAGGTCATTAATGAAAATTGAAAAACAGAGTTGAACCAAGAAAGGAGCCGTGGGGGACATCCGCGTTAGTACGAAAGGGTTTAGATGAATGGCCGTTCAGTATAATCTTCATTTCATGATTTGTTAGAAAAGACTATATCAGTTAAAA